ACTTAGCTCAGAACATATTTAGTCCTCCATCTCAAGTAAAATACATTTGGCCTTGATGAAACAAGGAAGTGTATCGATACTCCAAACAAAATGTGACAATGGCCATCAGCTCCCATCATCATAATCATGTTGGAGAAAGCTCTCCGAAGTTACAGTGATCAATCCTACTTGATCAATCCTACTTCACTAGACTTATGGCCACAGTAGCTTAAGTAGTATTTCTTCCTTCACAATCCTAAACATGGTTGGAGGTCCTGCATTGAGAAATCTTGCCTGCTAAGATAAGGTAGGTGGTTACTTACCAGCAGGCCTTTTTATTAAGGAGTGTCCTTAATGTCTTTTTTGCACACTGGATGACAGGCAAAAACATTCTTAATTGCTCAAGACTTTTAATCCTTATATTTTTATGCCATGCTGCATTTTAAGTAGTTTTATCTCTATGGCACTGTTAAATCTCCAGCAAAGCCAGTTCTAGCCTTTGCTGCTTTTAGATGACTGCAGTTATTAATGTATTTGTTTATTGTATTGTTGATTTGATTTATATGGATTTTATCTGTGTTCCTCTAGGGCTACAATTAAGTTCAGAGGAAGTCTACATGGAATTAAAAATGGTTACACAACAGTGACAGAGGGCAGATAACTCCCTCATGTCTTTCCACTGGCCACTGTGGAAAAACAGAATACTGGATAAGTCAAGGAGCTTATTTTAATGTGAAAAAAAAATCATCATTAAAATGTTTGGCCTAATTGACTTAAATTTTCCTTAAATGTGCATGTTAAAAGCCAATGCTGCATGATGGTTAGGCTATTCTCTTAGGACTGCAAAGCTTCATTCATTACCCTTTAGTTTAAGTACAGGGTTGCTGCAAGAATAAAATGCATGTGTATTCCAACGTCCCACTCTGATCTTGAAACGGGATACTCCAAGATTTCCCAAAGTGGTCCAATTTTGAAATGGGCAATTCTGACCACAAAATATTTTGCACACCTCTAGTACATGCAAGCTTCCTTTTGACAGCCTTCCTGTCAGCCTTCTCTCACAATCCTCTATCTTTTGCATATCATACATTTTTCAAGTACGTATTATTGCCCTAAGTAAGGATAGCAATTAGGAACATGTATTCTAGGAATGCCTGCACAAATTTCTGGACAAGAGGACCGGATGATAAAGTGCTGCTACATTTTGATTGTGGGGGATATTCTATATTGTTCACAGCAGAAAAAAAATAAAATAAAATATGTAATTGGTGAAAATTCGTATTAACAAAAAAATTACCCTATTATTCAAAATTTCCTGTCAGGATTGTAAACATTGTTCAAGAGGGAGGGGTGTATTCGGAAACAAAAAAGTAGAGCTGTCATATTTTATCTCTAGAAAATTATGTATCAAGATAACCATCGGGAATTCCCTCCAGAAAACTTTGTTTACCTTATACCCAGACTTCTTCTGAACTATTCTTGCCTTAGTAATTTTGGTGTTTTCTACAAACATGCAGCAATTCCTTGTAACGCCTTGATCTATCATTCCCACCCTTCCTCAGCCTGTTATTTCCCATCCAGCTAAGTCAATAGGCTGGGCCAGGTCAGGCAGTAGAGTCGGGATTTCTGCCAGAGACCTTAATTATAACAACGTCCTTTTCCTCTGACAGGGTGTACGTGTTCATTTCAAAGCCACTTGGCCTGGTAGCCAACATAACTAATTTAATGTAGCTGTTTCTCCCCTTCCACAGCAAGCCTTATCAGAAAATGTAGCCACACATTAAATTTACTCTATATGTCCACTAATATTGACTGACATTTGCTTTACTTCCCCACCCTTACCAATGGGATGGACAAAGTCAGGTTTATAAAATAGTAGTCCTGGGTTAATTATTCCTACAAATAATTAGTTCCCAACTTCCCATAGCAGCAATTATGCAAATGATGTTCAACCTGTTGTCCCCTTCACAGGTCTGCCAGCCTAATTAAAAGAATGCATGGGCTGTGTGTATCACATCTCTGTACCTGCTGCCAAAAATATGCAGTTTCCTTCCACATAAGACCAGAGACAAAGAACACAAGAGCGGGATTCACAAATCCAATTGGACATCTGCATCTAGGGTTTCTCTGCCTGAAACAGCCAACTGATATGGAGGCTAGGGTGGGGCTCTGAGACTATTGCATCATCAAAACTTCAGGGTCCTTTGAGCAAATAATGGACAAAAAGGGCTACTTGGGTGTTTGGGCCAGTTTAACTATCCTCCAAACACTCCTGAGTTTCCCTTTTGAAATGAAGCATGTAACTATTCTCTAGTTCAGAAATACAAGAAATGTTACATTTGCAGGTTTTCTCCTTTTCCAAAAGAAATTCTCCTTTCGAATTTCTCCTTGAAAAATGAAGCATCCAAAAATGGACTCTTAAGGCATCAGAGAGCTGTTTAGGAAATGATTTTGTTTATAAATAGACATAATGCTACTCTTTGTGTCTATTCTCAGAAGTTGGTCCACTAAATTGAATGGAATTTATTCCCAGAGAAACATACAAAGACAAACATCTAATGTCACTCACACATGTAGGCAATATTATAGGTATTTAATTGTTGCCAAATTTCAAGAAAACCTGAAATTTCAAAGTTGGAAACAGCATCTGAAAAATTGTGAGAAACACAGAAATAGAAACTTTTGTCAAAGAGGACCTACATATCCCAATTAAGGGTCAAAGTCTTAAGCCATCTGCAATATAAAATTATTCTTCAAGAGTTAGTTTGTTAAAATATTATCATACTTGGCCAAGGGGAACAGTAATGATTAACAGATTTATCACAGCACAAACTTTCACAGAGTAAGCATTACATCATCAGATGCATGAAAATCTTCCTCTGTAGGCAGGTATTGGTGGAGAGGAGGTGTACATTATCTAAAATTACTAAAAAAAGAAGTATAACTGGGTATAAAACTGTATTACATTTTAGTGTACTTCTTTTTTAATAAGAATTTTATTAAGTTATAAAAAGATACAGGTAAAAGCAATCAAGAACTAATAATCAAAAAGAAAAGTGGAGAACAAAAGAGTTAAAGATAAAGAAGAAATGCAGAAGTGATGAAAATTAAAGGAAAAGAAAAAAAATTACAAAAAGAATGACTTCTGACTTCTTATACAGCAGATATAAATGAATCATATAGTGACCTCTTACCCTTAAGCTATATTTTAACATACATATTTTGTATAACCTATTATTTTAACTAATCACCAAATCCATAAATCATGATTTCATTTTTTTCTGTCTCCTGCAAAAAGTCCAAAAGGGGCTTCCAATTGGCAATAAATTTTTTCTCTAAGCAAAGCTGTCAATTTTGCCATCTCAGCTAACTCCATCATTTTCACAATCCATTCTTCCATTGTAGGTCTTTCCACCTTTGAGCATATAAAAGTCTAGCTGCAGTTATCAAATACAGTAAAACCTTGGATTGCGAATAACTTGATCTGCGAGTGTTCCGCAAGACGAGCAAACATTTCTAATAAATTTTAACTTGATAAACGAGCGATGTCTTGCAATACGAGTAGAACGTGCCGCCGAATGTCACATGATCACAACTGAGCCAATGGTTCTCTCTTTCTCTCGCTGCGGGATTGTGGGTGATCATTTCCCATGCTAGTGATAGTGAAAGTCATTCTACACAATAATCCTCCTCTTTCTTGTCTCCCTTGCACCAGCCATGAAGGTTTTCAAAGGTAAGTGCAGGTTAATTTG